ATGTCTGCCCGCGCCTCTTCTACTTGGAGACGGTCGACGAGACGGAGGACGATACCCCCGATGATGGACTCGGCGACCCAGCCGCCGCCAAGGTCGCGCCGGCACCCGCGCCTGCGCCGGCTACGGCCCTTTTCGTCTCCCTTCATGCATTGGCAGGCATCCGTAATGAGCGGACTATGCTTATACCGGTCACGATCCGTGGCGAGACTCTGGTGGCTCTCTTGGACACGGGTTCTACACATAACTTCCTGCCTGAGGCTACTATGCGGCGCCTTGAGCTACAGCCGACAGGCGGGGAGCAGGTACGGGTCACCGTCACTAATGGCGACCGCCTCCGCTGCCATGGGCTCGGTCGGGACGTACCCATTACGATCGGCGACGAGCACTTCACCATCACTTGTGCCGGCATCGACTTGGGCTGCTTCGACTTCATCCTCGGCGTCGACTTCTTGCGGACTCTCGGACCCATCCTTTGGGACTTCGACGCCCTGACAATGACCTTCTGGCGCCTCGGCCGCCGCATCCGGTGGGAGGGCGTTGGAGGCGCCCCGGAGTCGCCCCCGCTCCAGCTGGCCGCGGCTACCACTGAGGCCGAGCATCCGCTGTTGGATAACCTCCTGCAGCAGCACAATGATCTTTTTGCGGAACCCCAGGGCCTTCCGCCGGCCCGGGTCTACGACCACCATATTCATCTCCTGCCGGGCTCGGCGTCGGTGGCAGTACGGCCCTACCGGTACCCCCAGCTGCAGAAGGACGAGTTGGAGCGGCAGTGTGCACTCATGCTTGCTGCGGGCATTATCCGGATATCCACATCACCATTCACGGTGCCGGTCCTCCTCGTTCGCAAGTCGGACGACACGTGGCGTTTTTGCATCGACTACCGCGCCCTTAATGCTCTCACACTTAAGGATAAGTTCCCTATTCCGGTGGTCGATGAACTCTTGGATGAACTACATGGGGCACGCTTCTTCACCAAACTAGACCTCCGGTCGGGGTATCATCAGGTGCGCATGCATCCAGACGACATCGCCAAGACGGCGTTTCGAACTCATCACAGCCACTTCGAGTTCTTGGTGATTCCCTTTGGCCTCTCCAACGCCCCGGCGACATTTCAGGCCTTGATGAACGATGTCCTCCGGCCCTACTTACGTCGGTTTGTGCTCGTTTTCTTTGATGACATTCTTATCTACAATGCCTCTTGGACAGAGCACCTCCAGCATGTGGCCATCATCTTCAACGAGCTTCGAGCGCATCATCTTCATCTTAAGCGCTCGAAGTGCTCGTTCGGGACGCCTTCGGTCGCTTACCTCGGCCATGTCATCTCGGCTGAGGGAGTGGCCATGGACACAGACAAGGTGGCGGCCGTCGCCGCCTGGCCGATTCCGCAGTCTCCGCGGGCTCTTCGTGGGTTTCTTGGCCTCGCAGGGTACTACCGGAAGTTCATCCAGGAATTTGGCCTCATTGCGGCCCCACTCACGCGTCTCCTCCGTCGCGACGCCTTCTCTTGGGATGAGGAGGCCACTTCAGCATTCGAGGCCCTCAAGGGGGCCCTCACGATGGGACCCGTACTGCAGATGCCGGATTTAGACCTCCCCTTCACGGTGGACTGCGACGCCTCCGGTGCGGGGTTCGGTGCGGTCCTACATCAGGGCGATGGACCCCTTGCTTTCTTCAGCCGACCCTTTGCCACATGCCATCTTAAGCTGGCGGCGTATGAGCGTGAGCTCATTGGGTTGGTGCAGGAAGTACGCCATTGGCGGCCCTATCTTTGGGGTCGTTCCTTCCGGATACGCACAGACCATTACAGCCTCAATTTCATGCTGGATTAGAGGCTCTCGACGGTACCCCAGCACCAGTGGATCAGTAAACTCTTTGTCTTTGACTTCACCGTCGAGTACCGGCCAGGTCCCCTTAACACCGTCGCCGACGCCCTGTCTCGGCGTGACGCCGATGTGGACGACGGTACGGCGGAGGGGGCGGCTTTCTGCATCCTCACCGGGCCCTCTTTCGTCCTCTACGCCGACTTCCGACGGGCGACCGCTGCCGCGGCCGACTCCCTCCCCCTGCAGTAGCAGCTGGCGGCGGGAGAGCTGGAGGAGCCGTGGCGCCTCGCCGATGGCCTGCTTCTCCATGGGTGCCGGGTCTTCGTTCCGGCGCACGACGATCTTCACCAGCAAGTGCTGCGCCTCGCCCACTTGGCGGGCCACGAGGGCGTGCAGAAGACACTCCATCGTCTCCGCGCCAACTTATACATTCCCGGTGATCATGCCCTGGTCCGTGACTGGGTACGGTCTTGTGTGACGTGCCAGCGCAACAAAACGGAGACTCTACGGCCGGCTGGCATGCTTCAGCCATTGGAGGTTTCGTCTCAGGTTTGGGTGGACAACTCCATGGACTTCATCGGGGGCCTTCCCAAGGTGGGCGGCAAGTCCGTGATTCTCACGGTGGTCGACCGCTTCTCCAAGTATGCTCATTTCATCGCGCTTGGCCATCCCTATTCAGCAGCATCTGTCACACGGGCCTTCTTAGATGGCATTGTCTGTCTCCACGGGTTTCCTTCTTCGATCGTCAGTGATCGGGACCCCGTGTTTACGGGACACGTGTGGCGTGACTTTTTCCGGCTGGCGGGCGTGAAGCTACGCCTGAGCACCGCCTTCCACCTCAGATGGACGACCAGTCTGAGATAGTTAACAAGGTGATTGCCATGTTTTTGCGTTGTGTTACAGGTGATCGCCCTCGCGCATGGGTGGACTGGCTCTCGTGGGCGGAGTACTGCTACAACACCTCTTATCACTCCGCCCTCCGTGCTACGCCCTTTGAGGTGGTGTATGGCCAGCCACCCCAGCCGATCCTTCCGGTTGATCCGGCCTTGGCACGGACCGAGGCAGCCGGGGCTCTTCTGAGGAGCCGTGATGAGATGCTCGCGGAGGTCCAGCAACGGCTCCTACAGGCCCAACAGTTGGCCAAACATTACTATGATGGCCACCATCACGAGGCGGAGTTCGCGGTGGGTGATTGGGTCTGGCTGCATCTACTTCACCGCTCTACGCAGTCCTTGGACCCCCGTGCGAGGAAGAAGCTCGGTCCTCGCTATGCCGGTCCATTTGCTATCCTGGAACGCATTGGGAAAGTGGCTTACCGTCTTCAGCTTCCAGCAGGCGCACGGATCCATGGTCTCTTCCATGTCGGGCTGCTCAAGCCATTCCGCGGCGAGCCACCCGCGGCACCGCCGACACTTCCATCGATCACGGACGAGCGCCTACTTCCTGAGCCAGAGAAGGCGTTGAAGGCTCAGCTGCGCCGAGGCTCCTGGTACGTGTTGATTCAGTGGACCGGACTACCAGAGGAGGACGCTACATGGGAGCAGCGCGAGGAGTTCCGCCAGCACTACCCCGACTTTCAGCTTGAGAACAACCTGTTTGCGCAGGCGGGGAGAGATGTTATGACCGGCCAGGTCTATGGCCGCAGGAGGCCCACTGGGCAGGCTTAGGCCTCAAGTTATCTTAGTTTTATTTTCAGATTATGGTTATATATACAAGTTGTAAGACTATTTCGAGAATTAAGCAATAAGACTATTCTATTGTCTGGCTCCCAGATGAGCCGGAACCCTAACCCTAGCCGCCTCCTTCCTGCGCCGCCGCCGCCCAACCGCAAGGACGGCGCCTCGCCGGCGGCCGCCGCGCTCTAGCCCTCGCCCAACTCTCTCCTTCCCCTACACCCTACGCCCTAGGCAGGGCCGAACCCTAGCTCCTAACACTTCATCTATATGTTAGTGCTAATTCTCTGGTGGAGAAAAATTCTTGCGCTCCAGACTTGACTTTTCAAACTTCCATTGATTTCTCCTTCGATGATATAATCCATAGTTAAATGCAAAACCTGATTTCAATGGGGGAAATAATTTACAATACCATTAACAATGGGGATATCTTCCTGACCATTAGCTTCATTAGTAAGAAAAGACAAGAATGCCTCTCGAAAAGTCAAAACCGCTTCGGCACATTCCACCAAGACAATGAAAAAAAAGGATGCCGGAGAGGGAGGGAGGGGAGGACCTGTTCTTATTAGTATGAAAAATATATTCTTGCGCTTGAGACTTGACATGTCATCTACTTCCTCCGTTCTTAAATACAAGTCTTTTTAGAGATTTTAATATGAACCATACGGATGTATATAGACATATTTTAGAGTGTAGATTCACTCATTTCACTTCGTATGTAGTTTATATTGTGGAATCTCTAAAAAGACTTGTGTTTAGGAACGGATGGAGTATCTCCTAGCCAAAGTTTTTTTTTGAACTTTGATTCATTCCTTTTCTCCACCCTGCTATCCATAGTAGCTCCCTAGCCGTCAGCTTTATTATTTTGAAAAACAACTCGAGACGATAGGCTATGAGACAAATTGATTTTTCACTTTCCACCAAGATTTGGAAAGAAAACATCAAAAAAAGATATGGAGAGAAAAGGACAACAAAATCACATCAGCCAGACAACTAGCTAGCTAGAACCTTGAATTGTAACTTTGTAAGTGGAGTGTGCTCGACACTTGACTTGTCAATGTTTTGTTAATACTTCTGTTGATGCTGTAATCCACATGTAAATAATAAAACTGATTTTGACAGGGCCGGTAGAATTCTACTCCCTCCGTTTCTAAATATAAGTCTTTTTAGAGATTTTAATAAGGACTACATATGGATGCATAGACATATTTTAGAGTGTAGATTCACTCATTTTGCTCCGTATGTAGTTCATATTGGAATCTCTAAAAAGACTTATATTTAGAAACGGAGGGAGTTCTCAGGTGCACAAACCTCTCAATACTTGGGCCTCCTCAAGAAAACAAATGATGGCAAACCAAGCAACCACATATTTGCAGTCGAGCTTGATAGTAGCCAAAATACAGAGTTCAACGACATCGATGACAACCATGTCGGCATCAACATCAATAGTCTCACCTCCACCGAAGCCCGACCAGCTGGCTTCTACGATGACAAGAACAACGGTATGTTCAACAACTTGTCCCTCGTTAGCCACAAGGAAATGCAAGTGTGGGTGGATTATGATGGAGATACCACACGGATCAATGTGACCTTGGCTCCCCTCAAGGTAGCCAAACCATTGAGGCCACTAGTCTCAACTACCTACAACCTCTCAACAGTGCTACAAGATCAGTCCTATGTCGGATTCTCGGCTTCAACCGGTCCAATCAACTCACTGTATTGTGTGCTTGGCTGGAGCATGGGCATAAACCGTCCTGCCCCGGACATTGACATCACCAAACTGCCAAAGCTACCTCGAATTGGCCCAAAACCTCAGTCCAAAGTTCTGAAGATCGTCCTACCAATAGCCACTACCACTTTCATCTTTCTTGTAGGAACAACTATAATTCTATTCGTGCGGAGGCGAATGAGGTATGCCGAGCTACACGAAGATTGGGAGGATGAGTATGGGCCACACCGTTTCTCCTACAAGGATTTATTCCATGCTACTCAAGGATTTCATGATCAGAACCTACTTGGCCATGGAGGATTTTGGAAGGTGTATAAAGGTGTTCTTCCGGTCTCTAAACTGGAGGTTGCGGTGAAGAGGGTGTCCCACGAGTCAAAGCAACGAATTAAGGAGTTCATCGCCGAGATTGTTAGTATCGGCCGTATCCGCCACCGCAACATCGTCCAGTTACTCGGTTATTGTAGGAGAAAGGGTGAACTCCTATTGGTCTATGACTATATGTCAAATGGCAGTCTTGACAAGTACTTGTATCTCCAGGAAGAGGAGGAACATAAACCAGTTCTAGATTGGGCTCGGAGATTTGAAATCATCAAAGGTGTTGCATCTGACTTATTTTACCTTCACGAGAGGTGGGAGAAAGTTGTCATCCACCGAGATATCAAAGCAAGCAATGTGCTTCTTGATAGTGAAATGAACGGACGCCTAGGTGATTTTGGCCTCTAAAGGTTGTATGACCATGGTGTTGTCGGCACCATGGGATATTTTGCTCCAGAGCTAGCACGCACCGGTAAGGCAACACCTCTAACAGATGTGTATGCATTTGGCATTTTCATCCTCGAGGTAACTTGCGGACGAAGGCCTATTATTGACAACAATCAGGCAGAGGATGTTGATTCAGAGATATTAATTGATTGGGTTGTTGAGCATTGGCGCAAAGGGTCACTTACAGACACACTGGACAGAAGACTACAAGGCAGCTGTTGGATAAGCGAGCAACTGCATTCACAGGAGGGCCAAAGGCCAGTATATATACATGTGTACAATGGGGATAAACCAAAAAGGCTATACACATCTAACACCCCCCTCATACTCATGGTGGATCAACAACACTGAGTTTGGAGAGAAGAAAACTATGTTGCGCTCGAGTCTGTGCCTTCGTGAAGAAGTCCGCCAACTGTAACTCAGAGGGCACATAGTGAAGAGCGAGAGTCTGATCCTACACAGCAGCACGCACGAAGTGGGAATCCACACCTATGTGCTTGGTGAGCTCATGCTTCACCGGGTCACGCGCAATACTGATAGCACCAGTACTGTCTGACAATAAGGGAGTCGAGGTGGTAGCAGACACACCAAAGTCCTCAAGTAACCACCATAACCAGATCACCTCAGCCGTCAGCATAGCCATGACTCGCAACTCAGCCTCTATACTCGAGCGAGAAACTGCAGTCTGCTTCTTTGTCTTCCAGGCAATAAGAGAGCCACCAAGAAAGACACAGTAAGCAGACAGCGAGCGTCGATCAGAGGAATCGCTAGCCCACGTAGCATCAGAGTAGGCCTGGAGCTCAAGAGAGCTGGAGCGGGGAAAGAAAAGGCGTTGAGAGATCGTGCCACGAAGATATCATAGGACATGAAGGAGATGACTATAGTGAACAGAGGTGGGGGCTGAAACGAACTGACTCGGAATGTGGACAGCATAGGAGATGTCAGGACGCGTAACAGCAAGGTAGACAAGACTGCTGATAAGGTGACGATAGCGAGTGGGATTAGGAAGAGGGTCACCATCAGATGCACGAAGCTGAACGTTGAGCTCCATGGGAGTCACAACAATGCGCTCATCACCGACAGCAGCGTGAGCAAGAAGATCCTGAATATATTTTTCTTGGGAGATGTAGAAGCCATCGGAGGTGGAGGAGATCTCAATCCCAAGAAAATAGCGAAGTGGACCAAGATCAGTCATGAGAAACTGGTCGCGAAGGCGAGCCTTAACAAAGGCAATGTAATCAGAGTCGTCACCAGTGATGACCATGTCATCAACATAGAGAAGAAGAAGAGTCCGACCACGAGGAGACGTGTGAACAAACAACGCGGGATCATGATCACTGGGAAAGAAACCAGCGGCAGTCACCACAGAGGCGAAGCGCTCAAACCAGGCATGAGGGGCCTATTTGAGACCATAGAGGGAGCGGCGAAGCCTACAGACCATATTATCAGGAGCATAGTACCCCGGTGGTGGCTGCATATAAACCTCCTCACGCAACTCACCATTGAGAAAAGCGTTCTGAACATCAAGTTGAGAGATAGACCACTGACGAACATAGGCCACAGCAAGAAGAGTGCGGCATGGTCATGTGGGCCACAGGAGCGAATGTCTCATCATAATCGCGCCCCTGCTCCTGCTGGAAACCACGGGCCACAAGACGAGCTTTGTAGCGCTCAAGAGAACCATCGGAGCGAGTCTTAATCTTGTAGACCCACTTGCAGGTGATGGGACGAACACCGGAAGGAAGGGGAACCAGATCCCATGTGCCAGAGCGCTCAAGAGTAGCAAGCTCTTCGGCCATCGCAAGCTGCCATTCAGGCTAAGTCATGGCAGTTCGGTAGGAAGTGGGCTCAGCAATAACAGAGAGACTGTACCGATCAGGGGAGTAGCGATCAGGCGGGGGGCGAGGCCGAGCACGCAGGTTGTGAACCGGGGGAGGTGTGAGAGGAGGCGCACTAGAGGTGGAAGGCTCGTCAGAGGAGACATCCTCAGGACGAGATCGACGAGTATAGTGGAAAGGAAATAGGGAGAGAGGGTGACGGACTGGAGATGATGGAGGAGAGGTGGAGGAGGAGGATGGAGAAGACGGGGTCGGTGGTGAATGAGAAGGAATGAGAGGTGCCAAAGAAAGAGGTGACACATGAGGCACATAGCAGGGTGTATCGGGAAGGAGAAGGAAAGAAAGGTCGGCCACCGAGAAACTCGAGGAAGAAGAACGTGGATAGTGAGAATGAGACTCGTCAAAAGTCAAATCACGCGAGATGCGCAAGCGACGACCCACAGGATCCCAACATCGATATCCCTTGTGCTCATCACTGTAGCCAAGGAAAACACACTCAACCGACTAAGCAGTCAGTTTGGTGCGTTCTCGGGGGGCAAGAAGAACATAGCACACATCCAAACATACGAAGAGTAGAGTAGTCAGGAGAGCGACCAGTGAGACACTCCATAGGAATACCACCCTGCAGAGCAGACGAGGGCTGAATGTTGATGAGATAGGTGGATGCGGAAACAACCACATCCCAAAAATGGGGTGGAAGGGAAGCAACAATCATCAGCGCACGAGCCGTCTCAAGCAAATGACGATGCTTTCGTTCGACAATGCCATTCTCAGCATGAGCACCAGGACACGAGAACTGGGCAAGAGTACCCTGTTCCGCGAGAAAACCACGCAACAGCTGAGAGATATACTCTCCAGCGGAGTCAGCATGAAAAGTGTGAACGGGCGTGGCAAACTGGGTGTGAACCATGGTAGCAAAACGTTTGTATATAGGGAGAACCTCGCTACGAGGTTTCATGAAGTAGAGCCAAGTGTAGCGAGAGAAATCATCAATAAACAAAACGTAATAGCGATGACCACCTTTCGAATCAAAGGGAGCAGGACCCCAGACATCAGAATGAACTAAGTCAAAAGGACGCTGAGATACAGACTGTCGGTGTACTAGAGTAGGGGTACCCTAGTATCCCGAACTTGTGCACGGGCAGTCGCAGCATCCCGCGGCAAGGCTTGCCGGGTGATCGCCAAGGTCCTCCGTGGTTCCTTTGGAGCCATTCAAGAACAAAGTATCCAAGCCAAGGAGACAAGACCCCGGCAAGAGGAGCTTGCCGGGAAGGCCACCCAAGGCATCTCAAGGAACTTGCCGCGGCGCACCTCGCGTCCCGGCAAGGCCCGGTGAGCGACAAGCTCCCGGACGACAATGACTGCGGCAAGGCGCTTGCCGCGGCAAGCCACCACTTCGCGCCCGCGCTCCAGCACATCCACCAACGTGTCGCTCTGGGACCCTTCCAGGCGTACGTGGCGGGAGGCTGTGCAGCCAGGGGTGCGCGGTGGCAAGCGGCGCTGACAAGATTGCCATCGTGGCAAGCGGTGGCGTCCCTAACGGTCCCTTTTACACTGTTTAGGCAACACAGACGGGAATTTAATGCCCTTCTCCCCTGCCGTCAGGGTTAGGTATGATACACTGTAGCAGGTGGCTGTACCAGCCGCATCACCTTTCCATTTTTACCCTTGTCTACGTTGCCACCTGTCGGTGACCCCTTGAGCATATAAAAGGAGGTCCATGCGCAACGTAGAGGGGGGGTTTTAGCTAGTTAGTTGGCTCAGAGAACACTCACGTTCGGTCTGGCGAGCCGCTGGTGTGTACCGCAGCATTCCGCGCTCCCGAGCAAGAGATCAATACAAATCACAAGGCAGGAGTAGGGTTTTACGCATCCGTGCGGCCCGAACCTGGGTAAACTGCCCGCGTGCTTCGCCTCGATCCGCTCTTTGCACGACCTCCGCCCTCACCGAATCGAAAGGGACTCGGCCCGCCGGTCCCATAGGTATTCGTGGATCAGTCCCCCGACATCTTTGGCGCGCATCTTGTCAGTTTCATGCTTTCTATATTTTGCATGTGTGATCTGACACTTTGTGCAGAATCTACTCCCCGGTAAGCAATAACAAGCCATAAGGCTCCATATCTGTATTTTCTCTTCTTTCTTTTTCACAAAAAAAGGAAGGTTCCCTCGCGCACAAGTTTGCCGGGGGGGAAAGGAGAAGAAAGGGGTATGGACCAGGCGTCGTTCAAGAATTTCGCCTTGCCGGGAAGCAAACAACAGAAAAGATAAGTTGCCAAAGTTTGAGCAGTCAGATTTTTTAAAATTTTAAGTTATCTTCCTTGAACGACCGTGCTTTGTATGGAAAACCTGTGCGCGGAGGAACCAACTCGTAGCTAGTGGTGCCCTTACTTTGTTTCGAGTCCGCTCAACAACTTAAGTGAGCTGCGACTAGTTGTCGCGCCCTTACTTTGTTTCGAGTCCCCTCAACAACTTAAGTGAGCTACGACTAGTTGCGACAAGGTTTCTTGTCGGCAGCGGCACCGCCAGCAGGCTGCTGACGTCCCGCACTCAGCACTCTCGGCTAAGGTGCCTGCGCCGGCAAGTTCCCTAAAAGCGTAGGGTAAAAGCATACAAAGCAAGGAGTCAAGTAAAGGGAATAACATTGCAAGCATTGCCCGAAATAAAATTATATTACAAAATAGCTTGTCGCAGCTCTAACAGATCGTTTTCATAACTTGATCGACAGCGACAAGAAAAAGGAGGAAACGGGCGGCCTAGTCTGTGCGATCGCCCTCAATCCTCTTGATCCCGCTCACCTTGTCCACAATGGGTGCGACAAGGGCCTTGAGCTCCTCCAGATCGGCATCCGGCGGCAAGGTCCTGAGAACATTGGTGAGGCGGAGGCCCGGGTTGCGGAAGGCCACCTTCATCAACACCTTCTGAAGGGCTCCCACGCAGATCTTGTGTGACTCGTCGGCCAGCTGCTTTGGGATCCTCTCCCAGAGTCGTTGGAGGGCCGTCGCCACGCCTTTGAAGAACAGGGTGAGCTTGGCGCTGGGATGGAGGCTCTCGTTGGAGGGATACCCAAGATCCCCCATCCCCAGCTGCGCCAGCTCCCTGTCGATATCCGCGGCAGCATTCACAA